AAAAATAGGCAAACTTCAAGAGAGTGTAACTTCGTCAAAAATGATCGTATCGAGATGATCAAAAAAGCATTTTACAGCTTGAAATCTCTAGTTTCCAAATCGATACTTAAGAAAACGATCCTACTGATCTTTCATGGAATTACACGGATAGAAAAGGAGACCCGATAAATCTCAAAATTTTTTACGAACTTCGACAAGTTCCATGGCGCGAATAAAAAATTGCAAATACAGTTTACAGTTTTCGAAAGAGTGAATCGTTACCTTCAATTTGCTTTTTTTTAGCGTTGTACGATTTTTTTCACCGAGTTATTAAAGGAAAAAAAGATTCCTTTTTGCTTCAATGTTGAATAACTCGGTGAAAAAAAATCGTACGACGCTCAACAAAAAAGCAAATTGAAGAGAAAGATTCATTCTTTCGAAAGTAGTAAACTGCATTGTGCGATTTTTATTCCACGCCATGGAACTTGTCAAAGTTCGTAAAAAATTTTGAAATTCATCGGGTCTCCCTTTCTATCCGTGTCATTCCATGAAAGATCAGTAGGATCGTTTTCTCAAGTACCGATTTGGAAAGTAGAGATTTCAAGCTGTAAAATGCTTTTTTGAACATCTCGATACGATCATTTTTGACGAAGTTCCATTCTCTTGAATTTTGCCTATTTATGGAGGGTAGAGTAAGTGATGCTTTAATTTTGTTGAGAAGTGTATATGGAATTAATTATTTTATGTGTACAGAAGCGTTTGAAACATATTTCAAAGTCAACTTTATTTTTTTAAACACAATGTTATGTTTTTTATTTCATTGTGTGTTTGCCCTTCTTACAAAAACAAGTTAATTGATACATATATTACATAAGGATATTCAAGATTAATCTAGGTCATAAATTCATAGTAAAATAAAATTTAAATTCCTTATTACTTCCACTCTTTATAATAAATGTTTAAAGTTTTCACATTTAACTCGATGATACAGATGAATCCACGTTTTCATCAGACATCTTAATGAGTTTTGCGAAAGTAAGATTTCGTATTTCTTGTACAGTGAAAACAAAATCAAATTCTCGTTCCAGAGTTTGTTTAATTTCCACGGTCATCATGGAACATTAGCTATATCTGTAACAGCTAGTTGAATCGTTACCGAGCCATTTTTCCGCGTAAACCGTAGAGGGAATACATCAAACAACAATCAGGTTTTAACACATTCCAGTTGCGTGTGCACAGTTAGTAAAGAGATCGATTTATTGTTACGTATGACGGAAAATTGGTGCATCGTATAAATTATAAATTATTATATATACCAATTTGCGTGTGAGTTGCATTATTATATCTGTTATTGATAACTATTTTTTTAATTACCTTTGTATTTTGTGCATACAGTGCATTGGTTTTCACAAAAAAATTTTTTAATGGGTTCACTGTTCCCCAGTTCCAAACGAAAACGTTTTCCCCTATTGCCGAACAACCTATTACAGCAAAAATCTTAATCTTGTATGTTCCTATTTGTATTAGTATTCATTATTTTGGTTAAAAGTTGCACTTAAGCAATATGAATAGTAAAAAAAAGGTTCATTAAAATAATTTAAAAACTGCACTTCAGAAAATTCTGGCAAAAGAAATTAACCAAAGAAAGGCATTTTCAAAATATGACATTGCAAAAAGCACTTGATGCCAAAAATGGGCATATGCGGCTTGTGCCGATATCCCCGAATGTTCTGACAATTGCATTTGTGATCGCTGCAAATTATATTGAAACTGTTCTCTGAGTACGTTAGTAAGTCTTACTGTGTCTGGTACTAGGTGCCACTTAATGATTTCTCAAAATCGTGTACTAAAGTTTAACGTTAATTTAAGTTAACTACAATAATAATATTGATTATTTTGTTGCTTTATTTTGATTTCTAATTATGAACTTATAAATAACGCAGGATAAAAAGAATAAAATATTATTATTTTTTATTTATTTAAGAAAAACCTTAAGCATCCAGCACTAGGGGAACTCTCCCTACGATTCGCATCGTTCTGTCAAATTGTCACAAACGTAGCAACTTTAAAACAATTTGCATAGCCACGCGATATTGATTTGTGTAATTTTGTTATAAAAGAAAAATATTTTGTATTTGAGATTATAATTTCATGATAAAAAATTATGGTTAAGAGCACTACTTTTACATTTATTATTACTATAATGTTAGTAATAATAATCTTAATTATATGTATAGTCCTACCAAATATGAAAAAATTTTACTATAGATTATAATAATTTCAAATATTAATATAGTAAAATATCAAGATATATGCGAGACAAATAAAATAAATATTTTTATGTAGTAAATGCAACTGCAATTATAGTAAGTGTAACTATTTTTTTAACATTTGCTTACTATTTATATTGTAATAATAACTACAAAATAAGTAAATAAAAAAATAATAATATTAATTATAATGTATAACCATAAAGCATTGTTAAAGTAACTATAATTTGCACGATTAAATTGATTATAGTTATCCCCAAAATTCACTATAAATTATAGTTAAATTATGGTTAGTCTAACTATATTTTTCTCTCAGTGTTGATGAAACGTAATCTATATGGGCGTTTATCTTTTTGAAAATTAAATACATTCAGTATATTATTAAAACGGTCATTGCGTGAGCCTTTTTTTGCAATTAATTAAATACGATTCCCTTAACTTTTTTGACACATGCAGTTATTATTCTTATTATTATATATTTGAGAGCAAGCAGGTGATACTTCTAGAATACAAAATTTTTTATCCCAATTCCGGTAGCGATTATTATCAACTCCATAAAATTTTCACCAAGCAACAAAATAAAAGCTATGTTCACCTATGTTTCCGTTTTTCGAAATTTCGCATTATAGTTATCTCGAACCGACATGCCCCTTGCATATGTTTCACGTAATCATACGCAACAATAGGAATTTTGTGTAATGGAAGCTAGAGCGCTGAGGATGTTCATCATTCTCAAAATAATCGTTTTAAATCAAGGATTTCCAGACGGTGTCACGTCGCGTCAGCGGTCCCCGCGTAACTGATTGTACTAAAAAAACGAAAGTAATATTCTTGAATAAAGGCTTGTAGCATATGTCAAATAGATGTCGAGAAGAACCTTAAAGCAACGAGGTGACGACTCGCCCACCGAATAAGTGCCGGCAGGAAAGAATCGCGAATACACTCGTTAACAAATAACCATAAAGCGTCCTGGCGCATAACAACCGCGCGGAAACGGTTATTTTTCGGGGGACAGCTAGAGGTCGGGATCCTCGAAAAAAATTTTCCCAAGGCCGTGCATTCCGTTAAATATTGCAATTTTCAGTAGGCAAACATGTCTCTCAGATTTAAAAGTTTAGAGTAGTAGGAATGCATTAAACTTAAAATCGTTACAGAGTATCTTAAAGTATCTCTTAAAATGCTAAAATTGTTTACTCTTTGATTTAGCACAGTGCCGCATTAAGTTCAGCGGCTTAAAGCGGCGTCTACAATGGGCAGTAACAGTAATAGATTAAAGAGTAACACATTGGAATAAGCTGGTTTTTCGGTGTAATAGGGCGTAAAATAAGTCCGTAAGCGAAATAGTTGAAATCCATTTCCTACGGCTACTTTTTTACTTTCAGCCAATGAGAGCTCAGCAGTAATACGAAACGCGCGCAATAGAAATCGATGCTATTTTCACATGTCAAATATGTCAGACGAATTCTTGTACTGAAAACGAAGTCAGCACGGACCATGATCTCGAGGTCGGCACTAATCAAGAGCTTATTGCATTGGTCCGAGTTAATCGGTTTTTATACGACAAAACCAAAAAATTATACGCGAATGCAAAGTGAGTGAAGTCAGAAGCATGGACGCAGGTCGGTGCGAACCTCATTTATATTTTGACATTCGTCGAGGCTATAATCTTTACTATGCGTCATTGTAGACGCTCGGACGTAACGACACTTTAATCCTACAGTTTACTCCTAACGCATACTCCTTAATCCATTACTGCTACTGCTCATTGTAGACGCCGCTTAAAACTCCAAACATAAAAATTTTATTTCTGTCCGGATACTTTTCGGGGGTAGTGTATGTATAAACAAAATATAAAGTCGCAAATGATAAATAAACATATAAGACATCTAGAATTGATTAGGACGGAAAAACATTCTCTTTCGATTGTTGACATAAAATTATTATTTAAATTTTTCGAGGATACGCGAAGGATTGCAAATAATTTGAAGATTAAAATAAATTAAAGTTTACGCTCCG